TTTTACATCCTACACAACTGTCGCGTCCGGTGTAGACACGGTGTAACGGTTGCCTGTTACATCCTACAGTACATTCAATTTCACTTACCACATAAACAGAGTAAGGAGGGGGGGGGCGGGGGCGGTTAACGATGCCGGCTCAACATCGTGATGTCTATCAGCCATCGGCGATGATGGAACATTCCTAATAAACACATTTCATTACACCAAATACACAAAATAATGTTCTTTTTAGCAGCATCATATGACCCCTTTAAAAGGTTTAAAACGTGTGCACCTTCGTTCAAGAATTCTGTGTTGGGACAATTTCAGGTTCTCAGGTACATTATTAAAATTAATAGGCCTACACCATGCGCAATCACACACACATTTAATCCTCAAGCTCTGGTTGTCCCTGTGACCTTCTCAATGTATGTGTAAAAATGTATATATATATATATATATACAAACCCGATTCCAAAAAAGTTGGGACACTGTACAAATTGTGAATAAAAACAGAATGCAATGATGTGGAAGTTTCAAATTTCAATATTTTATTCAGAATACAACATAGATGACATATCAAATGTTTAAACTGAGAAAATGTATCATTTTAAGGGAAAAATAAGTTGATTTTAAATTTCATGGCATCAACACATCTCAAAAAAGTTGGGACAAGGCCATGTTTACCACTGTGTGGCATCCCCTCTTCTTTTTATAACAGTCTGCAAACGTCTGGGGACTGAGGAGACAAGTTGCTCAAGTTTAGGAATAGGAATGTTGTCCCATTCTTGTCTAATACAGGCTTCTAGTTGCTCAACTGTCTTAGGTCTTCTTTGTCGCATCTTCCTCTTTATGATGCGCCAAATGTTTTCTATGGGTGAAAGATCTGGACTGCAGGCTGGCCATTTCAGTACCCGGATCCTTCTTCTACGCAGCCATGATGTTGTAATTGATGCAGTATGTGGTCTGGCATTGTCATGTTGGAAGGTCTTCCCTGAAAGAGACGACGTCTAGATGGGAGCATATGTTGTTCTAGAACTTGGATATACCTTTCAGCATTGATGGTGCCTTTCCAGATGTGTAAGCTGCCCATGCCACACGCACTCATGCAACCCCATACCATCAGAGATGCAGGCTTCTGAACTGAGCGCTGATAACAACTTGGGTTGTCCTTGTCCTCTTTAGTCCAGATGACATGGCGTCCCAGTTTTTCAAAAAGAACTTCAAATTTTGATTCGTCTGACCACAGAACAGTTTTCCACTTTGCCACAGTCCATTTTAAATGAGCCTTGGCCCAGAGAAAACGCCTGCGCTTCTGGATCATGTTTAGATATGGCTTCTTTTTTGACATATAGAGTTTTAGCCGGCAACGGCGAATGGCACGGTGGATTGTGTTCACCGACAATGTTTTCTGGAAGTATTCCTGAGCCCATGTTGTGATTTCCATTACAGTAGCATTCCTGTATGTGATGCAGTGCCGTCTAAGGGCCCGAAGATCACGGGCATCCAGTATGGTTTTCCGGCCTTGACCCTTACGCACAGAGATTGTTCCAGATTCTCTGAATCTTTGGATGATATTATGCACTGTAGATGATGATAACTTCAAACTCTTTGCAATTTTTCTCTGAGAAACTCCTTTCTGATAATGCTCCACTATTTTTCGCCGCAGCATTGGGGGAATTGGTGATCCTCTGCCCATCTTGACTTCTGAGAGACACTGCCACTCTGAGAGGCTCTTTTTATACCCAATCATGTTGCCAATTGACCTAATAAGTTGCAAATTGGTCCTCCAGCTGTTCCTTATATGTACATTTAACTTTTCCGGCCTCTTATTGCTACCTGTCCCAACTTTTTTGGAATGTGTAGCTCTCATGAAATCCAAAATGAGCCAATATTTGGCATGACATTTCAAAATGTCTCACTTTCAACATTTGATATGTTATCTATATTCTATTGTGAATAAAATATAAGTTTATGAGATTTGTAAATTATTCCATTCCTTTTTTACTCACAATTTGTACAGTGTCCCAACTTTTTTGGAATCGGGTTTGTATATATATATATATATATATATATATATTTAATTGAACTCAAATATTTTACTAAATTCACTTGACCCAATGGAAACAAAGATATTATTCAATCTTTATTCATATGTTTTAGTACAAAGTAGTCCACTTTTCAAAAATTATTGTATTTTATTGCATTGATATAGGCCTGTTTTTTATTTGAGGTCTCTGATGTCCCATGCATAATCAATGATGTAATCAGATCTGTTACGTAATCAGATTACTTTTTTCAAGTAACTAGTAAAGTAACACATTCATTTTAAATTTACAAGAAAACATCTGAGTTCTGTTTTCAAATAAGTAGTAACGCAAGTTACTTTGTTTTCCCATTTATTCACTGACACATCTCCTGTACCCGCATTGAGAGAAATTAGGAGTGAGGTACAGAGGTAGAGGCACTTCCTGTAGGATGAGATGTTTTAATTTCACTTTTGATGTGAAAGGGCCTTTACAGTTGCCAAAAAGATAACTTTTGGGTTTTTTAGTTATTAAAAATAAATAAGCAAGCCCAGCAGGTGACAAAATGTAACATAATGATTTACTTTCATAAAAAGTAACTTAGAAATGCAATTAGTTACTTTTTATGGAGCAACGCAATATTGTAATGCATTGCTTTTAAAAGTAACTTTCCCCAACACTGTGAATAATTTAAAAAAGAATGTTATCAAGTTTAAATTTAGTTTAGAATCACTTCTTATAAGATTAGGAAAAGTATCAACCTGCTATGTCAATGTTAAATTTTTCAAGCCATTTAACTGGCTTCCAAAAAGACCTCAAAAGAAAAAATAAAGGTTAAGACTGAAATATTAAATATTTTATCATTTTTAATAATATCATTTTATAATTATTTTAATTATATTGTTTGATGTCATCCCACAGCAAATTGAACTTGATCATCTTTTATTGTAGAATAAAAGTGCCAAAATGGGAAATGGGTCGATGAAGCTGAACCCTCTTAAGCAGGTCAGTGGCTCTGGCAAATCCAAAAACAATGGAGAATCAAGCTCAGTTTCTCAAGTTCTCAGAGTTAGAGTGGAAGAATTAGAGAATCAGCTGAAGAAGAAGGATGAAGACCTGAATGCCAAGGAGATTCAGATCAAACATCTAGAGGAGCAGCTGGCCCAGCAGAGACAGACCATCTCAGAGATCTCTGACACTTTAAGGAACAAGTGTCTCCACCTCAACAAGCTCCAGGATGCACTGAAGAATCAAGGCGAGTTAGGTCTCCTGCCATCACCTATCAAGGAAAATGTCAGTCAGTGTCGCACTGGCCTGCTCAGAGATACCCTCAATAGGAGGAAAGGAGCAAAAGCTGGAGTTTCTGCAGAACCTTCATCCAGAACGTATGATTCCAGTGGTGTACCAAAGTTCTACTTTGAGAGTGCACGAGTCTGGAAAGAGCAAAGGTGAGAGATTTGATCCATTTTCTGCTTGTGATGCCAAAGGTAAATCCTTACAGAGTTTGATTGACAGTTGTGGTTATGGTAATAAGGAGAAAGGAGAAACAGCAGTGATTTTTGGTGCTAATGCGTCATTTAAATTAGTTTAGTTTTAAACTATCTGTTAAGGAGCTACTCATGTACTCATTTTCATGCGATGAGGCATATAATCTCACAGTGGATTTATATTATATTATATTATATTATATTATATTATATATTATATTATATTGTATTCATTATATTATATTGTGTTATATTTTTGTGTCTGGCTGCAATATGTAATAAATTAATATTGAATAACTTTTTAGACACAATATTGACAGTTATTTTGCATATTTTGTTTGGCCAACAAAATACTTCTAAGTAAAAAATACTTCTAAGTATTACATTCATTCATTCTGAATGAATCGATTGAATGAACGAATTACTCATAAAGACGAGAAGGGTCTGGCTGCAGCCTGGCGCTTGCACTCTCAGACTTGCATTCTCAGGCTTGCACTCTCAGACACTTGCACTTCCGCTAGCGACGTCACTTGCAGTCTTTTTTATTTTTTATTTTGTTCTATTTATTTAGTACTTTTTGTTTGAATCTCTCAACATTTTACAACAGTATAGCCAGGTGGTGAAGACAAGACAAAAT